TAACATAATAATATTAACACTGTTCTACCATTCCACTGGACCCACTTTCTTCCCATGCTATTTACCCCCTACTTATAGATCAGATGCTCTAAACTGGGTGTTAGTATGAGTACCTTTCTCTGCATTGCAGCCAAAGCCTATTGTTATGAAGGTTCATAACATATTATTACTACTGAGAAACTTGGGAGCAAAATAGATCTAGGTTTTCAGTTCTGTGAAAAATTGACTATTTTTGGGCATTGAGTTCAAAACAGCAATTTCAAGAAGTTATGTGATTTCAGTTAAATGACCAGCTAGCCACCTGAGGAGATAATAGCAAATGTGTTTAGTGACTTGAGTTTTATGACCACCAGAGAGGGACAAGCCACAATCAGATTCATGTGGGGGGTGGGGGAGTTGGGGGTGGGGTGGTGGTGCAGAGATCAATAGGAGGGCTGAGGAGAGGTCCTGAGATGATCACAAGTCAGTAAGGAAAAAATCCTCCAGAAGCAGAAATGTGTGTGTGTGTGTGTGTCAGAAAAGAAAGCAAAGCTGTTGGAATCATGAGTTTTGGGAATCCTTGTTAAGTAATAATGTACTGAGTTAACAGCTTGCTTGAAGGGTCTCATGGAGAGACATTAACTGAATAAAATAGCATCAACTTTAAAATAACATGGATTACAGCCATACCAGCTGAACGAGAAGTTTCAGCAAGGAGACAGGGAGTACTCCTTACTGAGATTTGAACATCTGTAAGAGTATTGTTGGGATAAGAAGGATTAATTTTTCTTTCTGCTTGTATTTAGACTGTTTGAATAGTTCTTGTCGAATGTAAAATAGTTTGGTTTTTTTTAGTGTAGTAAACATTTATGTTCATTTGTTAAGAGTACAGTGGCAGCCTCTTGTGAATATGTTCAGGGACTGACCTCCATGATGAACATAAAATAAAACTTAAGGTCTATCAAGCCACACAGGGATGTGATGTTTTCACTACTACATTCAGTGGTGATCATGGCACAGTATGTTAATGCAGCAATCAAAACTGACACTCTAGATAAGGTCATATCAGTGTCTTTTACAAACTTGTTATTAACTCGTATTTTTTGTACTCGATATCTTTGACTGAACATCCCAATATCCCGTTACCATTCATTACTGATGCCATAATGTGCTATTCTGTGAACTATCCACAAACATCTTCCGGTCCATCTCCTATATTGGGTCCTTTACCCTGTCTGAATTATTATTTCTGTTTCTTTCTTGTATTCATTATTCCACTTCTTGCCACTCTAAATGTCATTGCCCACTCAACAGTCATTCTTTCCTTGATTCTTGTGATCTTGATTTGTGTCTTCCCATGTTTCCTTTTTGTGGGATAACTAATTCAGCATATTTGTTTCTATCCTGATCTTCAACTCATTTCTAAAATTAAAATCAGTGAAGTACGTTTGCAGTACCATCACCATTCCAATGTAAGAACTACAGCGTATGTAGGAATGTAGAAAATAGGTGATAATTTCAACTTGTCATCAGATCTGAAACTGCCCTTGTGGGTCAGACGCCAATTACAAAAGTCAGCTGTTTCCTTTTGCCCTCATTAAAGGATGTCATCAGACTCAGATCCTGCTTTAAATAATTCCTTGAAAATAATAAGAAGGATATGATTAAACTTGCCAACAGTTTCCTCAAGAATGTTTGTGTGAAGTCCTTCCAAACCAGAAGGAGTTCCAGTGCATTTGATGAGGACACAATAGATATTAATATTTAAATATTATTGAATACATTTTTCCTTAAATTCCTAGGTATATCAGTAACTAAAATATCTATTTCCTATATTACAAGCTCTGCCCACACTAGAAATTCAATTTATGGTGCTGGACAGGCTGCTCAACAAACACAGAAAATAATTTGTTTACAGAGTTTGCTGTTCCCTGGATACTTAACATGTTATTTCTGGAATCTTTTCATCCCTGTTGCTTTTTCACCTGTTTGAAGAATTATTTATAGGGATAATTGACATTTCCTTTAATGTTCTTGAACCTAATTTATTGAAAAATACTTCCTAATCATTTTGTGTCTCCTTAGCCTTATTTTTATATAATTCTTAGCCCACTACTTTAATACTTTAGAAACTGCCTCCTTTTTGTTCTCTTTACCCCAAAGGAAAACATCACAGGCAAAAAAAGCACAATTTAGAGCTCTGTTACAGAGTATTGCAGTTTCAGCATTTTATGCTAGATCATACAAATCTTTAATTTTATCTAATTTATTTTAATGGCATTTTGGCCTATTATTATTTATATGCACAAGTAAAGAAATAAATAACACTGTGATGATGGTTGTGTCATGTGCTAAGTGATTCATTTTAATAAATTGTAAAATGAGAGTTAGGAAGATGAGTTTAAAAGCGACACCAGAAGATTACAGTGTTCTTGATCCAAAGACTGCCTCTAAACAAATGGAGTCATGTTGTGACAAGTGTAGTAATGATTTGCATTCAGGGTGGATGATCATCATTTTACAGTCACAGCTTATTTATAACGAACACCCTTTTTGCATTAGTTTATCCAGCACATGAACATTTGGATTTCTGCATGTTCTTGGACATCTTGACTGTAAGAAATAGGGTTTTTCCATTATCAAAATTGGTGCCAGCATCTTGGTCCATTTGTGGCAGGGATGGGGGACACTGGTGATGATTCTCTGACACTTCTTGGGATTAATGTACCGCAAAATGCCAACCAGTTGTAAAATGGCTCCCCTAATGGTATTTTGGACAATTGCAGGAGCTTGTCTGATACTGAGCCCTTCAAAACAGATAATGACTGGTTGGGCCTTGTCTGTCCTCATCCTGGCAAACTACAAACCCTTTCACAAACCCAAGGCTTACAAAAGAATTGCCAAGTGCAGATGATTATCCAATGATTCTTACTCCTATGTGTAGAGAACAGGTGAAGCCAAGATTGAGAGCATTACTGTTTCACACCATGTCCACAGTTAATCGCCTCCCCTCACTAAAAAAGAACGCCATTTGGACAGGGGTATTTTCGGGCTACTGGGATTCATATACCCCAGCAGGTGCAAGGGGAGGTGCGGAGAGGTGAGTTGGAATGCCCCCACAAAATGAAGAAATGACTTAGCTTTCTCACAGCGAAGCTTAGTGTATCTGAGGACAGATCATTTGAGCTGTTGGAGTGAATATCGGGCAGGACGGGTTGTATCGATGGGAGATATTCATTCGGAAAATAACATATCACAGGAATAGGGTGAGTCAGAGGCTATCATCTACAAGCATGCACTGCTTCAGACAGGATTCTGACACTTGAATCACGCTTCGCACCGCGCTCCGTAACATTTTATTATGATACACTTAAACAGGAATGTGAATCTATGACACAAGCTCTGCGTAACATTTTTTTTAAAAGAGCTGCATTACAGGGGCGTGTCTGCCACTACTGCTCCCAGTGTCAGTCACAGGGACTCTGCTGGAGCTCTTGTTCAGGGCTCAGGCGAGCACTCGGAGCTATCCACGTCTCTGGTGCTGAAACTGATTCCTCGAACTCGATTCACGCTTTTGACTTTCTAAATCAACAACCTTCCACATTTCGCTCTTATTTTTCTGTGTGTGTTTCGATCATCGTTATCATTTTAATAAACAGTGCCTCATTTACAATTAGATTCATTCCTTTCCTTTCACCTGAACGGGGAGAGAGTATTCCGTTGCAAAACAGAAAACACATTCCTATCCCGCAGCTCTTTGACAATTGTCAAAATGGTAAATTGTTGAGTCGAACGTTTCTGTTTTACCTCACTGTCATTGAAGCACCACAGACAGCACTGCCTGTCACTGTTAGATTCCCCAAATGGACAATGACGGGAAAGTAAAGCGGAAGAATTTAGTTTCTGACAGTAGGGGCTTCAGTCGTTGGATTGTTGTACGATGTAAACTTTACCACTTTTATCCTAGAGTGTACCGCTGTGGTGACCCTCCTACACTGAGACAGCGAACTGAATGTAACACCGCTTATTTTCTTTTGCAGAAGGGAGAGGCAAAAGTAAAGTTGGTCGGTAGTCAAACAGGGTACATCATGTACTCCTAATCGCTTACAGATAGCTCCCGATACCGCATTCCAACATAAGCTGCTAAAAGTCTAATCAAAGTCCCGAAATAGAGCCAAACAAATGGACTTTTAACACAAGGAGCTTACCAAATGACTAGACGGCCAGTGAAGGTAGGGAGACTCACAGGGTCAGTCATTAGATGTTGGGGAGATCGCTTCCTAGCCAGTAGGGAATCAATTCTTCCCCAAGTCAGAATAATCTTACTCCCCACAAAAATACTAGCTCCTTTTGGATTGACTGATGCTGTCCTGTGTGTTGCCCAGAACTATTTATAGCGGTCAGGCTATCACGTTCCATCTCCTCTCGAGTCGGTCAGGTTTAGACAAGAACAATCAGATTCATATTTGCATTTTGTAACCTGGATCAAAACTGTTTAAACGCATTTTTTAAAAAAAAAAAACCGTACATATGAAGAGGGAGTTACGTGTCAGTCTATCGAAAGGGCTAGCGTTTGGTTCTGAGGCTACGGAAGGAATATCACGGAGCAGTACGTGGGCGGCTCAGTCTTTGTCTCTTTAAATCTCTTATCTTTTAAGTGAAACGCAGGAATTCCAAGCAAGATGAAAGGGAATGAAGGAAGTCAGAGGCTTGGGGGAGTGGAGGGCGGACGGGTAGGGGGTGTGTTTCTAAAGCAAGGAAAGGAAAAAGACAAGAGAAAGAGAATAGAGTGCAAAACGAGCTGAGGCAGCAACAGAAGTAAGGTTAACTGGGGAAAGAAATCCGAGGCGAGACTGGATAGAATCATGTACAGATTACACAGACATATAGACGGGATCTCCAAATGCCAAGGCAAACGGTAAATTGTACCGAAAAAAGTACATTAAAAGAATTTGAGTAAAGGGTCAGAAAGAGTACATTACCAAAGCTGATTTGAAGTCTGTAGATCCAAAATATCTTACCTTGCGCCCGGGTTTGGATTCCCAGCAGTAAGAAAGCGTAGAGCACCCACAGGACGCCGGAATTCCCCAGGCCAAGAGGCAACATCCTCGTTTCCTTATTTCCAAGCGGCCCCTGGATGTATTTTAGAGAAAGGGGAATCTTCCTTCCACTCGTAGCTTCTCCCACGGCGACTGTAGCGATCGCCGAATGCAGCCCCTTTTCTCTCTCTCTCTCTGTCTCCTCCCTTCCTGTCCCTTTACTCAGCTCCTGGCTGCCACAGCATGTTTTGGGAGGGAGTGTACCAGCGAGCCGAGAGCTGAGCCACTTTTCGCATTCTGAGGCGCTCAGAATCGACTCTATGCGTCACCGCGCTTTTTTTTTGGATGTCAGCGAGAAATTGGGCAGATCGGAGGCTGGGCTGCTGAGGGGCTGGGGAGGTGGGGAGTAGGGAGTGGGGAGGTGGGGAGTGGGGAGTGGGGAGGTGTAGCTGTCTAATACCGCTGGGGGCTCATTATTCCTGTCTAACGCTGCGCGGAGGCGAGGAGGGGTAAATGTGAGCCTTATGTTGTAGGGGATCCAGTGTTTATTGCCTAATTTAGCCGGGGGGCTAGCTTCGACTGCCTGGAGCGGCTCATAGGGAGGGTGCTAGCTGTGACTGTGTAGTGCTGCTGGGATCTAACTGTGACTATCTAACGCTGCTGGGATCCAGCAATGACAGCCTAACGCTGTTGAGATCTCGCTGTGTCCGTCTTATGCTACTGGGATGAAGTTGTGACTGTATAACACTGCAGGAATGTAGTTGCGACAGTATGATGGTGCTGATATCTAGGTGTAACTGTCTAATGCTGCTAGGATCTAGCTGTGACTGGTTAATATCACTGGGATCTTGCTGTGACTGTCAAGTGTTACTGGGATATGGCTATTACTGCCTAATACTGCTGGAGTCCAGCTATGTCTCAGCAATAGCATACCTCCACAAATACACTCAATGACTTGGCCTCCAAAGTGCTCTGCAGCAACGAGTTCCACAGATTTACCATCCTGTGGGTGAAGACATTTCTCCTCATCTCAGATCTAAAGGGTTTTTCTTTTCACTCTGAAGCTGTGCCCTAGGGTCCCAGGCTCTCCTACTGGTGGAAACATATTCGTCACATTCGCTCTGTCCAGACCGCTTGGTACTCGGTAGGTTTCAATCAGATCCGCCTCATTCTTCTAAAGCCATTGAGCACAAACACAGAGTCCTCAACTGCTCTTCATATGACAAGTCCTTCATCCCTGGGATCTTTCTTGTAAACCTCATCTGGACCACCTCCAATGCCAGCACATCCTTTCTTAGATATGGAGCCCAGAACCGCTCACAAGATTCCAAGATTCAAAATACTGCCGGCATCTACCGTGGCATTCTAATAATTCAGAGATCTATCTGTGACTAATGTTGGTGGGATCCAGCTGTGACTAACAAATGCTGATGGGATCTTCCTGTGACTGTCTAATTCTGCTGGGGTGTAGCTGTGAATGTCCATTACTGCTGGGGCCTAGTTGTACTATCTAATAAGACCATAAGGTATAGGAGCTGAATTAGGCCATTTGGCCCAATCTTCATTGATATGTTTCTCAATCCCATTCTCCTGTCTTCTCCTCAAAACTTCAATCCCCCTACCAATCAAGAACTTATCTATCGCTCTCTCTTAAATACGCTCATTCACCCAACCTACACAGTCCTCTGCAGCAATGAGTTCCACAGATTCACCACCCTCATCTCAGTTCTGAAGGGTCATCCTTTCACTCTGAGAACATGCCCACGGGTCCTAGTTTTTCTCACCAGTGGAAACATCTTCTCCACATACTCTCTATCCAGGCATCTCAGTATTCTGTAAATTTCAATCCAATTTCCCCACCCTACCCCCCATCCTTCGATACTCCATCGATCATAGACACAGAGCCCTCAACTGTTCCTCATATGACAAGTCCTTCACCTCCAGGATCATTCTTGTACACCCTCGTCTGGACCTCCTTCAAGGTCTGCACCTCCTTTCTTAGACACAGGGCCCAGAACCACTCACAATATTCCAAGATTCACCATACTGCTGGAGTCTTGCTGTGGCTGATAATACAGCTGCAATGTAGCTGTGACTAGTTCTGCTGGGATCCAGCTGTGACTCCCAATCTAGCTATGACTGTCTGATGCTGCTCGGGGCAGCTGTGATTGTCAACTGCTGCTGGGTTTTAGCAGTGACTGGTGAATGCTGCTGGGATCTCCCTGTAACTATCTAATACTGCTGGAATGTAGCTGTGACTGTCTAATTCTGATGGAGTCTAGCAGTGACCGTCTAATGCTGCTGGGATCTAGCTGTGACAATCTAATACTGCTGAGATCTAGCAGTGACCGTCTGATGCTGCTGGAATCTAGCTGTGACAATCTAATACTGCTGAGATCTAGCAGTGGCCGTCTAATGCTGCTGGGATCTAGCTGTGGCAATCTAATACTGCTGAGATCTAGTAGTGACTGTCTAATGCTGCTGGGATTTAGTTGCGATTGTCTTTTGCTGCTGGGATCTAGCTGTAACTCTCTATTGCTGCTCGTCTGTCAGCCAGTCCCCAGCTTGTGGCACAGCATTGCCTCTGGCTTGTCTTGGTCTGAATGCAGACATGTGCTTCATGCAAATGAAGGGGTGGATTAGTGGGTTCGGGCAACCCTTACACGCTGACCAGTCTCCCCACCCCCACTCGCCCACAACCACCAACATTGCAGCTCTGTAAGGAAGTGAGCAATGAAAGGTACAATTAGCCAAGCCTGCTGGCTTCACTTTCTGAGAGATACAGATCGCTCGGAGATTGTTGAATCCAGAATATGAAGGCAGCAAAACAAAACCAAATGGATCCCGGACTTTCGTTCCCCCAGTGGTGTCCTCCCGAACTACATTTCTCTCAGTTTACATGTGAACACTTTTCCCAATGGCCAAATCCATTAAAACCTATCATTGAGTGTGATGTTATTTAGAACTTTCTCATCCTCAAATAATTCTCGAAATAGGATTTTGTTTTGTCAAGGACATTGCCCTTTTAAGTGGATTTCTCTGAACTGGAACTGGGATAATGGCAATTGGCGAATATCTGATGACAGCTCACCCTAACATATATGTCACCCTTTTTGATAGCAGCTCCTCATTGTCGGGCTTGTTGTCAAACGCGTGCTTAGAATGTGAAGCTAAGCGTATTTGAAGCGTCAAAGACCCTAGTTTGGGGTCAAGTAGCACATACAATGACTTTATTCCATTTTTATTGTAGCACAGAGCCACGTTTTTGATGTATTTTCCACCACACTTTCCCACCGCGCACCCACCCCTCTCCTTATCATCTGTTGATTCGACCAGCTCCCAACTGCTTTCCGTCCACTGCCACAAATCAGCTGACTCATACAGGTCAACAATCAACCCTGGCCCCTTACTGCACAATACCACCTACTGCTCAATGAGCTGGTGCTTTTCTCACTGCTGAGAGGACATAGTGCTATTTAGGTTTCTAGACACTGAACAGTTGTCTGACAAACAGTTGCAAGTCTGCACTATACTTGTAATGGGGATCTAGTAATATTAAAAACCACTAAACATTTTCAATGACATTCCAAATTCTGACAGGGTCACTCCAAGCCGTCCACATTAAGATTCAGCAAGAGACAGAAACAGTTCTCCCAAACGTTAGAAATGTTTAGTTTTGCTTTAATTTTATTTCAATTTCTCCACTGTGCTTTATTTTCCCTTTCCCCCAACATAAACCCCCTTTGTCATCTCAATACCTCCCATTCCCCAGTGTCTTTCACTTAGAAAGTGCCTTTCTGATGGAGCAAGCTTCCCCAAAAATTGATTTCTATAATCCCTGCTGGCACAAATTAGTATTCACAATTGAATCAACAGAGAAGAGACTATCACTGGGCCATCACTATTTTACAAACACACTGCTCAATCGCCCCCAAAGTGTTTTGCAGCTTATTAAAAACAGCCTTGAGGTGTAATCACTGCTACATTGTAAGAAACACAACAACCAATTTGACCTTATCAGAAATAAGAAATTGCAATATTAATCAGATATTTTTTTCACTATGAGCTTTGGTTAATGCATAAATATTGCTCAGGACATCAGGGAAAATTGACTGCTCCTCTTTGAATCTTGTCCTGAGGTCCACCAAAGAGAGTGATTTGAGCTTTAGTTAAACATTTAATCCAAAAGGCCTCAACTTCCACAGTGCAGCCTGCCCTCAATGCACTGGAGTATCAGCCTGATCCTCATGAACTGGAGTATCAGCCTAGCCCTCAGTGCACTGGAGTATCAGCCTGGATTTGTATTCATTTCTTGATTCGGACACATAGTGGATGCATGGCCTAGTTGGCAGCATTCTTTTCTCTGTGTCAGAAAATAGTCAGTTCTATGTAACTGTCAACCTATCCATAATTATCCAAATTTACATTGTGGTGTCGTACCAAGGGAATGCTGTATTGTTAGAGATATGACCTATTGGGACAACATGTTATCTCTCATTTACTATCTCAATGGGTGTGAACAATCCCATCCCTTATTTCAAAGGTGCTTTGGCCAATCTTCAACCCTGAACAAAAATAAGTTAACTCATCACTTACTGCGCAAATTAGTTTATCTCATTAACTTACACGACAACTGCAATTACTCTTACAAAGAAATGTATCAGCTGGAGAATACTTTGGACAGGAATACTCAGGACAGGAAATAGCAGAAAATGCTAATTCATTCTTTCTTTCTGAAAATTTGGAAAAGCTGGTAGGATACTGGATTGGTCATTCCAAGCATTACTGTTTCAGAAACCATGTGCCGAGAACACTGTTCCAAATCTCATCAAGATGTTTTGTCTCAGAAAAAACAGCTCTACAGGTGATATGAGATATACAATTCATGCTGTGCAGTTGAAAACAGTGGAACTGAAGGGCCCACTGGCAGACTGTGATTCTCCATTCAGGATCAGCTCACTAATGTATACAAATGAGATGGCTTATTTCTAAATGAGCAGTTTGCAGATGTATTCTAATTCTTCTAAAATTAATTGAATCTCTTGTTAAAGCTGTAAGGATCAGCAG